CCTCACCATCCTCATCCCTCGCCTCTCCCATGGGTGCTGCTGGTGGGGGAGCGGGACCGGGCACCTTCTGCTCACAGGAGTTTCTCTTCTTCAGGATGCCCTTGGGCCGCTTGAGGATGGATTTGGAGGGGTTGTCCGGGGCCAAAGCCACCTCCTGCAGTGCGTGGGAGACGTCGTTCTCTTTCTTGGACTTCTTGAGGGAGCGCTGCCGCTCCAGGGCCACGCCGGGGATGTGTTGCTTCAAGAAGCAACGCACCTTGGAGCCGTTCTCCAGGAGGGGCCGGGAGGAGCGGCGCAGCCACTCTGCCACCGTGGCCAGGGGGGACTCGCTCTCCCGCAGCAGCTCTTGCTCCCCGAGGGGCACTTTGTAGCCCCAGTTGACCCACCAGTGCGTGGCGATGTCCTCAATGGTGGCACGGCGCTCTGGGTTCACCATCAGCATCCACCGGATCAGCCCACATGCATCTGAGGAAGAGGCAGGTCAGCACCAAAGGGAGTACGGGGTGGGGATGGGGGGACAAGCAGGACGGTGGGGGTCTGCTTACCCGACAGCTTCGTGGGCTCCCGGTAGTCCCCGCTTGTGATCTGCTTGACCAGGGTCTTGTAGTCGTGGCCATCGAAGGGCATCGTGCCATGGACCAGGATGTAGAGGAGAACACCCAGGGACCAGCTGTCCACCTGCGGGGGGACGGACGAGCCTGGAGGGGGGCGGCAGGACCCCCCCACCACAGCCTCAGCAGCAGCCACGGGGAGAACGAAGCATGGGGCAGCTCCAGCCACCTGCACCCCACCACATCCACCACACACAGACCACGGGGTGCTGGGTCTCAGGGGATCTGTGACCCTGGACCCCACAGGAATAGTTGGCTGGTCCTGTGATGCTCCGCTGGGAAAACACCCAAGGCTTTCCCCAAACCCAAGCGAAGGGGCAGGGAGACTCGCACCACGCAGAGGGTGAGGCACAAACCCACCTCCGGGCCCTTGTACGGCCTCCCGTTGATGATTTCGGGGGATGCGTAGAGCGGGCTGCCGCAGTACGTCTGCAGGAGTTTGTCGTGCTGGTAAACGTTGGAGAGGCCGAAGTCTGCGATCTGGAGAGACATTTATAGCTGTTATACAACCACAAACCTCCCCTCGCAGGGGAGCAGCGTTGCCACCCAAAGCTCTGGAGCTGCCAGGCTTGGCCGAAAAGAGGGTCCCCTCCATGCCCCCATGCCCACCCTAGGTGCCCTTGGAGAGCAGCACCCCAGCTTCCCACCCCCCAGGCTGCTCCTGCCCCTCTCCCCCTCCCAAAAAGCTCATCCCAGCCACCACAGCCCCATGGCTCTATCACATTGCTGGGAGTGGAGGCAGCGCAAAGCTGTGGTTTGAGGGCTCCCCTCCAGCTCATTCACAGCCACACGAGGCTGCTCCAGTCCCTGTCCGCTACTCCTGGCACACAGACACTCGCTGTGCTTGTTACGGCCGTCACCTCTCAGTGAGCTCAACAGCTCCAATTGCTAAATTACCCCTTACAGAGAGAAACCCCGCAGCCTGGTTATCACCAACTGCACTGAGCCTCGGCTGCGGCCGTGTCCTTCCTCAGAAAAGAGAAAGCATCGCTGGGGCCAGCAGAGCCAGGACCTGCCCCGCACCTCCCTCCGCCAGCCTGGCTGCGCATACAGGGATCAGTACTTTCACTGGGAGAGCCCTTTCTCATCCACCCGGTGCTCTGACCTCAGCACGCAGACTTTGCCCTCTTATCAGCAGGCAGATACACAATTATGGCTTTAATAGACAGCACCGGGGCTTTCCCGCTCAGCCACGGGGCACAGATAGCAGGGGACAGGCACTGGCGCCGTCTTGGCTCCCCATCTCCCAGGCAAGCAGCCATGCAGGCCAACCCCAGTGGTCCCAGAGCCCACAGATGCTTCCCAGAGATGCAGAGAGTCCCGGTGAGACTGGGGTGCTGTGCTCCCCCCATCCATCCACACTGGGGAGCATCCCCTAGACCCCTTTGCTGGGTGAAACCCAAAGCGTGGCTGGGCTCTCACCTTGATGTTCCCGTTTGCATCGAGAAGGATGTTCTCCAGCTTCAGGTCCCTGTGAACGATCCCGTTCTGCGGGAGGGAAAGGAGAGCCGGGGTTAGTTTACAGTGCGGTTGAGGAAGGGAAAGGCAGCACGGGGAGGTCACTGCCGGTCACCGGTGGCACAAACAGGACACATTAACAGGAATCAGTAAATAGCCCTGGGTGTATGGATGGGCTGTAAACCACGTCCTGAGATGGGTGCTACCAGCTCCTCGTGCTGCTGGGGAGCAGGAGCAGGGCGGCACCCCACACCCGCACCCTGTGCCAGGCGCCGAGCTGGGCTTTGCACCCTCCCCAGCCACGCACTCATCGGTGCCAGTTCCTGCTGGGGCACAGCTCCATGCTTTGCTGGGGTCTGCTGCTCCCCAGCTAGGTGAGACCCCAATTTTCTTTGGGTTCAGGAGGTGCCCTGCAATCCCCGAAGGACACACAGTACCCCAGACCAAGGACATGGTCATGGAGCATCCTCCAGGGAGACCTATTGGCTCAAGGGTCCCTCCAGGGCAGGCACGACTCATCCCACAGCCCCGGACAGGGCCCTACAGCTCTATGTCCCTTTCAGGGGACAAGAAATAGGGCTTGGCTTACAGCCTCGGGCGTCTTGGGAGTGGATAACTCCTCAGCAGGGTTAGTCAGCCCCACACCAAAGCAGCAGAAAGCCAAGGTGAGGACTTTCCAAAAGCTGCTTGGGCGCTGCCGCACCCTTCAGATAAGGGGCAGGATTGACCTCCATCCTGGGAAAGGCCAACAGCCACGAGCTCCCCCCATCTCCCAGACCAGGCTGAGCGTCCCCATCAGGCTCTGGACCCCGGACTGGCGGTGGAAGCGTGGTCAGACCCACCTTGTGGCAGTAGTAGACGGCGGACACGACCTGCCGGAAGAAGTGGCGCGCCTCCTGCTCCGACAGGCGCTGCCGCTCGCTGATGTAGTCGTACAGGTCCCCCTTGCTGGCGTACTCCATCACGATGACGATCTTGCTGCTGTTCTCAAACACTGCAGAGATGGGAAGGCACAGGGTGTTACGGGGGATGCTTGGATCTACGGCACTTCTCGTTAGCACACGCCTTTTAATGAGGTGGAGCCCTGACTGACCCTAGCACGCTGCCCAGGTGTCTGTGGTGGGACAGGGGACAGCCAGAGCTGTCACCCACACCTCACAGTGCCACTGGGGCTGCTGGCCAAGCAGCTTCTGCAGCCACAGAGCACGGGAGAAAGGGCTCTGCTCCACCAGACGCTGACTAAGACGCGTGGCTCTTCGCTAGATAAAGCCCGGGCAAGGGGGACAGTGGTGGAGTTACGGCTGGCACGGCCGGGTAACCTCTCCACGTGTTCCCATTGCTCCCAACCGGGCTCCAGCTCAAGCCAAGAGACTGAGCGTTTTCTTCCTGTTTGCAGAAAGCCACCTCAGTATTTTCAAATTCCAGCAGCCAGCGTGACTCAGTCCTTGCAAACAGCGCGTAGCAACTGCCAATCCACTTGTTTTTGTTTAGAGGACAAAAGGACTCTGGATACCTCACGTACACCAGCAAGGTGGCACCAGCGCAGACACCGGCCACACGCTGGCACAGTGCAATAGACCCTGAGGATGGACATGGGCACACAGGTTTTGCAGCCAAGGGACTTGATGTTTAAGCAGAGACTGATCCAGGTGGAGATTTGCTTCAGGTCTGATTGTAGCTGAGAAATTCCCCTGGGCTTGGTGTTGCCGACACTCCGGGAGCAAAGCCCAGCCCTGGCCGTAAGGCTGAGCCCAGCAGCACTGGGAGCTCTCCCAGTACCCCGCGGTTTGGTTTTCCTGCGCCCCAGGGCAGGGAAGGAGGAGGACTCTGGTACCCAGATTAGCTCCTGCCTCAGGCTGAGAGCGGAGCGACGGGATCCCTGTGGCTCTGGCACTCACTGGTTCCCTGAATGTGTATTTCCCATGGCTGGGACGAGCATCCAGCACCACCAAACCCACACACGGCACTGGGCTTCATGGGGGACCCTGGTCACCGGCTCCACTCCCAGCACAGCCTCTTGCCAGCAGCGCTGAGGCTTCCAGCCCCAAAAGGCCACATAAACTTTTGGAGCTGGCTTCCCCCTTCGAGCGGGAGGGGACGGGATGGGAAGCAGCTATTTCTGGAGCAGGTATTTCCCCTCGCTGCTGCTCAGTGCAGCTGGGAAACCACAGCCTGGCAGCATCTGCTCTCCCTTTCCAGTGCTGAGTCACCAGCACGGCACAGGCAACAGCAAACAGCTTCTGCTCTGCCTCGAGCGCTGACCCCGCTGCTGTGGGGTACCCAGCCCTGCAGGGGAGGCTTTGCTCGGGGATGCTGATGGAAATGAGGGCTCACCTTCGTGGACGGCGATGATGTGGGGGTGGTTGAGGGAGGACATGATCTCGATCTCTCTCCGGATATGGACAAGGTCCTGCTCATCCTTGATTTTGTCTTTCCGGATCGATTTGATGGCCACCTGCAGATGAGCACACACACAGAGGGTCACCCGCTGTCAGGGCCAGGAGCATCACAGCTTCCCAAAGCCTTCTGCAGAGCGAGAAACCCCCTCCCCTCTTTTGGGAAGGGGCTGTAAAGCTCCCCTCACCTCCCCCCAAGGGAAACCTGCTGCCAGCTCGGACCAGAGGAGCTCCCCCAGCCCCTCCCGCAGGTACCACAGCCCCGCTCCTCATTCCTGTGCCTTACAGGAACCGTGTCCCAGGCTACAGCCGCCGCTGGACCACGGCCAGCCCAAGGAACGCGACCTGCACACATGACTTGGAAGATAACAACAATGATGTCTTCTTGGGGTCATGAAAATGAAAAATAACCCAGGGGTTATTGTCTTCCTTGCAAATACTCCTTTCAAGGAACGATTATGCAGAGGTAAGAGAAAGTTTGGTACAGAAGAGCAGATCCCTCCTAGGCACAGGACTGTGCTCCAGCTGGACAGGAGACCCAGCGCCAGCAATGCAAGCCACTTTCCAGGCTTTCGCTCGGGTTTTCAAGTTATCCTCGACAAGGAAATTGAAAGGGGAGGAGAAAGAAGAGTAAGCACTGGAGAATAGATGCCTTCTAATCCTCTTTCAAAGGGGCTGGGGAGAGACAATGTGCTCCTAGGGCCGAATTTACAACTGAATCCAGCAGAAACCTCTTTTTTTGTATCGGACAAGAATGCAGAACAGCATTAATCCCGTAAAGAGACCCCCGCACCCGTCGCCCAGCAACAGGGAGAGGGGCCACAGACCCCCGCTGGCCCCAGCTGCCAGCACAGGAGCGATGCTCATGGCTGCGCTGCACAGGGATCCTCCTCCGCCTTTGGCTACATGGGACAGATGCTCGCCCTCATCTCCCTCCAATTTAGGGGGGTCAGAAACCTCGTTTCTCCATACCCAGCCCAACAAGCAAAGATTCAGAGCAAGGTATTGGTGTCTTCACCCGAGAAGGTTCTGCCACTTTTAAGGGCTCAGATGGGCAGGTGGGAAATGGCTGATGGTAGCCCCTTTTTGGGCCACTTCAGGCCAGCAGTGGCCAGGGCAGCAGTTGCCTCCCAGGCACTGGATGAGCATCGTACGTGCACCAGCCAAGCAGAGGCAACCAGGCAGAATGGACCCTGGCCAAGGCAAGTTCAATGACCCAGGCCCGGATTCTGTACAAAGCAATACTGCAGGTGCTTAACAGCTTCTCGAAAGCCAGGCTTTCTTTTCCCTGACCTTTGCGCTAGGTTAAACAGGTTAACGTTTAACAATATTTGCTTCAGCCCCTGATTACCTGACCCCCACTAGAATGCGGGCAAAACCTTTATGCAGCCCGCTCCTGCCCTCCCAAATTTTTTTTTTGACTCACTCGACTCATCTCCCTGTTAAAGCTCAACAGCCTCAGCATTTTGGGGTGCAGGCAGCACATTTGCTTGCTGACCAGGATGCTCATGCACATACACTGCTGAGCTGGGGCTCAGAGCAAGATCCACTGTCCATGAGGAGACGAAGTGGCTCAGGCTGCCAGCACGGGAAGCCTTGGGAGATGCCCCTGGCTGTGTGCGTGGCCATTGGTGACCTCTGATGCAGACGAGAGTCCCGGCCATGGCAGTGAGCAGGTTTAGGGCACTTGGAGCCCCTGGGCTCTCCTTGCTGAGCGCTGCCTGCCCTGCGTAACGGTGGAACACAACACACACACAGCAAGGGTATGGCACTGATAGGGTCCACATCTTATCAATAGAGACCAAACCAGCCACTCGGGTGGGATGATTTCTCTGCCTGCCCAGGAGGATAATCCCTTGGCCAGCCCATCCTTCCCCAGAGAAGCAGCTTTGCTCCAAAACATCCACTGCCTCCCAGGGCTGACAGCAGAGGATGGCCCCTTGAGACAGAAGGGGCTGTGCCCGGCCACCCTGGCAATGGGGACCAGCACCTTCAGGGACTGATCTGCCACAGCCCATGCGCTGCCAACCATCGCCACTATGGGAAAACCTCCTGCAGGGAACAGCCCCGCTGCGAGGGCCTAGAGATCTCAAGAGTACTTTCCAAGTCAAAAAGGCTTTTAATTAAGTTTTTTGGGGGCAGAACAGGTATTTTCAGCAGCTGCTGAAAGATGCATTAAGCTACAACCCCAGGCAGCACTTCAGAAGTCGTTCCAGATTGCAAGTGCAGCATTTCATGCTCCATGAAATATGGATTACAACCCACTACGGAAGAGACTGGGGTTCGCCCCTCACTGGAGATCAAAAGAGGTTTTGCTACTTTGGAATATTCCAGGTGCTGCCTTCCCCGTGACACCCCGCAAGCCCACAGATGCGCTGCCAATACCATAAGCAGATCCCACTTTCTGTTTGGGCTGTGGCCAGGGCATGGGAACCAGGCTGGGAGGAAGAAAAAATGCAGATGCTGCCATGCAAACAGGTGCAGGAGCCAGTTTGCCCCACCATGGCACACGTTACTGAGTCTTCAAACCAGAAGATGTGTAGAAAAAGAAAAAAGAAAAGGAGAGGAAAAAGGATCAGCCTCTCTCTCCACTCCTATTTCTTGTTTCAGGAACACGACTATTTTCCAAGGACTGGGCAGGGCACTCAGCAGAAGTACCCACAAAAAGGGTGAGCATCATTTCACCTAAAGGGCTTCTAACCAGAAAGCAAGGGTTGGTTGTTTTTGGGTTTTTTTTTTCAGACAAAGAATGTTCATGAAGTCTCAAAAATCTCCCAGCTGGGGGAGCCTGGTCCTCCCTACAGTTCATCAACCGATGAGACACACTTTGAGCTCAGGCCAGGTGGTTTGGTTGAAATTGAGATAAAAAAGAAAGCCAGGCAGTAAAATGAGATGGTTCAATATTCAGTGCACCTGACAGGGGCAGTTTCTGATTACCCAGAGGCAAACACCACACATGGAGCAGCTCCAGCTCTACAGCCTCAGCCGGTAGCGACGGATCCACACAGCCCACGAGGGGCAAACAGTGAGGCAGCAGTACCTGCTCACACCTCGGTGTTTAGGAAGTGAAAGCCACTTAAAGAAGGAGCACATAACCACCCAGCTCAGGGTAAGCCTGAAGATTAAACAGGTCCGGAAATGCTGAGTGCTACGAGAAAGAATTTGTGGGAAGAGGAGAGATTTGTGGTTAAGCCTCCTGTTCCTACATGGCCAGCTTGTTGAGGTACTAGTTAGTCAAGCCCTTGACTATCTCCAGAATTCATTGAGGAGCCACTGGCCTGTGTATTAAATCTGCATTATAATGGCCCAATGGTGCTACACAAACAGTCCCTGTCTTGTTCCCCGGACAGGTACGGGGTTTTTGGCCGTTTTCTCCCCTGTGCAAGCTTCATTGGGTGCAGGCAGGGAAAGCCAAGTCTTCTCGCCCATCCCGAGGGGAGGGATCCTGCTAGGTCTGTGGGTGGAAGCTGCATTTCAAGGCCCTGATTATGCAGCAAAACAGCAGCTTCTTCAAAATCAGATAGGCTAATGGAAATGGCAGATCTGACTTAATTAAGAGCTGTCGCGTTACACAAGAAAACCTCTCAGATTTACAGCTGCTCGACCTTCGTGATCCAATCTCACACCCCACTCTTCTGCTCAGCCCTCAGAGCCTCACTGGGCCAGTCCCATCGCCTGCAGGTGATCCCTTGTTCCTCACCCATGGTCTCAATGCGGGTGGGCACCCAAGTGCCTTTCATGGGTCTCATCTCACACCACAGGGCACTCAGGACTGAGCAGGGGCAGGGAAATCACGTTCAAATTTACCCTTTGAACCCTTCAAGGAGAGGGCTGCCAGGACAGCAGCACCCTGCTTTCCTGGGGTGAGGGTCCTCCACTTCTCCCTGCACGCTTCCAGCGCACTGCATCACGATGCTCAGAGCTGGCTTGCTTCAGGGGGGCTGAGGCATGGATTGAGTCATGATTTCAGGCCGACACACAGGGTGAGGCAAGGCTTTGCTCGCCTGCCACACACCACTGCGAGAGCCAACACAAAACCCAACCACAAACGAGGGCAAGAGGAAGGGAAAAACCCTTGAGACTCAAGTGCGATGTTTGCTTTCGCTGCCGGATACCTGCGGGCTCCTTTCTCCAGGAAGCCGGACGCGGTCAAGTGGGCGAGGGGAGCTGTAACCTCCCCGAGGTCCCTCCGGGCTGCCCCGGGCACCACTCCCCC